GTCGTTTATGTATAGCCCTAATTCACCCTAGTACCGACGCAGTTCGCCCTAGTGTGGCGAATTGCGTCCATGACCGAGGGGCAAGATTTAATAATGTATATTGTTCGTAGATTTTACGCATGTAAGCAAAGATTTGACGTACTATATATTGGTTTTATTTTTTGAAGCTAGATGGCCGACCCGAGAAACATGGATGAGGAGGAGTTGATGATGAATTTGATCAACACTGGCACTCAAGTTGCCGGCGATGATGGTGCTAAAAATAACGTGCAAGTGGATGCAGATGACGGGAGTCAGTACTTAGCTCTTGAACAAAATGAGCAACAACATATTGGCCAAGTATATATTTTTTATTATTAGCTATATATATTATCATATGTCTTATGTGTGCTCATGACATTAAAAATGATGTTTATGTTTTGTAGCCCTCTAGATCGACATCAACAACTACAACGAAGAGTAAAAATGTTCGAGGTCCCAAAAAGCCATTGGAGGGCCGCTTCATCATCTCGGAGTTCAATGTGGATACAGGCGAACCGGGGGGGGCAAATAAAATGAAATTCGTGCACCACTGTGGTTACCTTGTACAGGACCGGCTCCCGATCAGTACCCGCGAATGGAAGAAGAAGACCAATGCTCCTCATATCAATTTTGTCTCCGATAGTGACAAGACGTTAATTTGGAAAGATGTCTTGGTACATTTCACGCTCCAAACAGATGGTTATGATGATATAATAGATGGTGATGAATTGAAGGAGCGAGTTAGGGATTGGACAATGAAGAAGATGGCCACCCAGTTTTAGACTTGGAAGAAACACCTATACACGACGTATGTCAAGAAGAACATAGCACCAGATTTCACTGTCCCAAGCCCGATCTCAAAGCAGAGGCCCTATTGGAATGAGTTTGTACAGTACAAGACGTCGGAAGAGGGTGTGAGTCGGGTGATAAAGAACCAACGTAATGCCCAACAGAAGACATACCACCATAACTTGGGATCAGGTGGCTACCCGACTGCCATTAAGAAGTGGAACAAAATGGAAGCAGACCTTCTTGCCAAGGGTATCACACCAGAATCACTCGAGTGGGGAGAGCGTGCAAAGAATTGGTTTTTCGCTCATGGGGGAACACTGGACCAGGAGACAGGGAAGTGCGTTTATGGCGCAAAACTGCAAGAAGCAGCAAAAAGATTGTTTTATGCTCAGAGAGCTACTGCTAGTGGTGCGTTCAGGCCCAACAGAGAGAAGGATGAACTGACATACGCCATTGGGACTATTGAACACGGTGGCTGAACTAGAGGCAAAGGAAGTGTCTCGTGGGAGCATGGATTCCCTTAGAACAGACCTTCCTACAGAAGCCGCCAGAGAAAGAAGGAAGAAGAGGCACAGTGGCTCCAGAGGTTAGAGGAAGCGGTGCGTGAAGCACAGGAGCAGGAAAAAAACCTTGAAGCGAGAATGCAGGAGGAAATCAGAAGGCAAGTGCAAATAGCAGTGAGTGCAAGCAAGCAGGCATCAGAGCCAGGAATCAACATTAGCCGATCTGTTCAGTTGAAAAGCAGCTGCGCTTCCACGGAGATACCAAATCAAAGGGACACAGGACTACGCTTCCCTGTGGATGACATCACTGAACCTTGTACATCGTGTGAGCTACACATTCCGAAGGGGAATTCCATAATCAAGGTGGCTATCGGTCTTGTTAATCCTATCGACCGAACCAAGACACCAAGGATTCATGGGAATATAATCCAAGAAGGATATGCTACCATCTTGGTAGATAAAGCTGAAAAAGGTTTTAGTGATTTGCCTCTTGACATTCCTGTAGGTTATGGAGAGAAGACTCTAGGAGAAGCAGAGAAGACATTCATTCTATGGCGCAAGCGCTACATCATCATTCCCGGGATGTCGCCTCCACCTCCTCCTGAACTACCTCACCATAGGTGCGGATGAAAACACTACATCATTAATTTATATTTGCTTAAATAATTAACAATCTGCTCATAATAATATGTCATTCCTTTTTTTATAGCAGATCCTCTCCCAACCTAAATCCAATTGTTCAATCGCCAGATCATCATAGTGCTCTGTACGATGACAATGTGTTGGAAGGCGAGGCTGCATCCACACCATCTCCAAGGAGGTCTCCAATGCCGCTGCCACCACCTCCAAGGAGGTCTCCAACGCCTCCCCCGCCCCCGCCTACCAAGAAGCCAAGTACTAGTAAGAGGCCAGCCCCACAAACGAAGAACCAGTCCCCGACGGGAAAGAAAGCCACCGTGAAACCAAGGGCTATTCCTAAAATAATATCTGAAGAGAAGGAAGAAGTAACTGATGCATATAAAAAAGATATGTCCAGATTCTATGACAAACTTAAAAAGGACCAAGAAGCAAGGAGAAACCCGGAGAAACCGTACTTCTTCGTAGCTCCAGATATTCTAAGAAAAAAGGTGGCTTCTTACCAGCAACAACAGCGGGAATCTCGTAAGCCGTCCAAATCAATGTTAACGGACTATGACCGTACTCTCACCAAGTCAATTGAGGCGGCACAGAAAAAGAAGCAGGCAGGGAAAGGAGTTGCACAACTCGGAAAATAATCGCACCAATCAGTCCCCCCGCTAGTTGTTGGTAATGAATATGGTTCGAATTTAGGATTAATGCATCAGGCAAACATATCTCCGGATGTCGATTTGGATCACCTTGGTGAATTTATTGAAGAGATTGGTCTCGACCTTTACCACATGTTTGGTGATGGAAACATTGAGAGTGCGGCGGAGGTTGATATTTGAAAGAAAAAATTTGTACTAGGCCAAAGTCTATACAACCCTCAAGCCTTAGGTGATCTGGGGACGCAAATGTACCTACTAAACAAGTGGTACATGCAGGCGTCTACCGGTGGAGACTTCTGCGTTGGTGTCAGAATTAGAGACGAACATTGGTTCTGTGGCGATGATGTTATGTATGTTGACTTTGCAGAATTTCATCAACTATGCCACCTGACCTCTCTGGACAAAGTTATCATTAGCTGCTATTGTCTGTAAGTAATAATTCTTTTGATCTATTATTAAACTCATCATATGTGTGTATATGCATATAAATTATCCTAACAAGTACTATATATATGCAGATTTACAATGACAAAGCACAGAAAGGAAGGCTGCAATGAAATTGGTTTTGTTGATCCCCATATAGTATTCAAAGACCCAGTTACTCCAAAGCCTAATTGGAAGTCTGAGTCAGAGAGTAACCTCATGAACTTCTTAGTGAACCAACACCACAAGAAGGATATACTCTTTCCCTACAACTTCAAGTGAGTGTTAATAATGTCGATCATCCTTAATGGCTCATATGTTGATTCTAGTTAATTAATGAGTGTTATGCGTTATATCCTATAAACACATGCAACAATCACTGGATATTGATGGACATCGATCTGGTGAAAAGTCACTTGATAATCTATGACTCGATGAGAAAACCACAACAAGACTACCAAGATATGATAGATATTATCTAGAGATAATTTCGGTATCTCTAGCAACTATATATACACACAAACATGATGATTAACTATATCTGATGACGTGACAAATTTTTTATTGGGCAGTGTTTGGAAAACCTTTATTGAGAAGCAACACATGGGAAAATGCAAAGCGCCACTGAATATAATCCCTTTGAAAGTAAGTCTCCTAAATCGCATCATCTTTATTAATTAAACATATAGATTTCACCGGATCACCAGATTGGATGACAAATCTTTTTCTCGTAAAGTGGTGTCTGAGGCAGGAACAGGGGAACAACTACTGTGGTTACTATGTTTGCAAGTTTATCAAGGAGGTCTCCCAAAGAACTCCTACAGAGAGACTCAAAGTACGTTAAAAATACATTATATATTCATTTAATTATTATTATTGATTGTGTTACTATGTCTTTATATATATATATACATATATTAATTTATTTTCCTTTAATTCAAACCTGTAAACTCGATGGTTGGAGGAAAAGGTCATACGACAAGACCAAATCAAAACAATTTAAGAGTCTATAGCCGGATTTTTTAATGACCAGGTCATCGATTCCAAGGGCGAGTTTTACTTCGACCCAACACTACCATGGAAGCCAAGCTAGAGGATGAGAGAAAACTTGTTATATCACAACAACTGTAATACAATCTTTTGTAATATATGCACATAAAATAATATAATGTAAAATACACATATGCATGCATGCATGTAAATATATATATGATATGTATATATATATATATATATATATATATATATATATATATATATATATATATATATATATATATATATATATATATATATATGCTTGAATTGTGTGATTTAATATGTTCATTGTGCTTGAACGAAACATACTATAATGCAGCGTATAAATGTATTATTAGCAGCGTACAATACGACTTCGAAAACATATTTTGAAAAGAAAACAAAAAAATGAAAAGAAAAGAAAAAAGAAAAAAAAACATTTAGTCCCGGTTCATATTACCAACCAACTAAAAGGTACCGGCCTCGTGGCATGTCAGGAGGCACCTTTAGTCCCGGTTGGTGTTACCCACCGGGACTAAAGGTCTCCTTTAGTCCTGGTTCCTGACCCGGGACTTAAGGACCTTCTTTAGTCTTGGATACTTGCTCACGGGTGAGGAACCGGAGGGGTTTCCCACCGAAAATAAAGGCCGTCTCTGTACCCGTGGAACGAATTTAATTCAAGGATCCAATCGGGAGGGTTAATTACTTTGTCAGGATTCAGGACACGCATCGACTACCGACTATGAGAGGCACTCTGTTTCCAAATAGGTTGCCAGGAGCATATATAGAAACGGCAAAAATTGACGAGCCAGATTAATTCTTCCAAAGTCGGTAACTGAACTTCCTTGGGCCCGAAGCCGCGGATATATATATCTTCCTCCGTTTCAACTTCTTCCGACGGCCGACGTCACCGATAGAAAAAACTCGACACACCGATCTGGACCACGGAGAAACACAGATGTCCGCCCACCGGCGTTCTAGGCATAGACGATCGTCCGAGAGTTCATCATCAGGCAGCAGGTCCACCTTCCGTAGCTCCATGCGGGCCCCGACTACCGAGACAGACGACGATGCGCCCGGCGGCCACCGGCGGCTTAAACGATCGTACGCTTCGTTGCCCGTGCGGCGTTCGCCGGCTTCGCATCACAGCTGGGTGCTCCTGAACCGAGCCGGTGCCCGGCGGGATAGTTTCTCCGGCGACCGCACGACGTCCGCGATGTCCCGCACATCCAAAGGCGAGGAGATCTCCGTCTCGTTCGAGCTCGTGGAACCGCCCGGAACTTCCGTCCTCACCTTCGATTGGCCGCCGCGGCTGTCGACTACACCGAGGAAGTCCTCGGGGAACGTCATCGCCGCGCACCGCGACGTCGTGCTATTTGCGATCACGTCCTACGACGAGAACACGTACCGGCCGAGTAGTGTCATCGACTTGTTCGTTTACCAGGCGAGCCTCGACCCCTCCCGGCGCCGGCGGCCGTCCTTGTTGCTGCTGCCTTCAGCAGGCGGGCCCGTGATTTATGCTCACCGTTTGGGTAACGGAGAAATTGGTATAATGTCGTCCTGCACAAGCAACGACGTCGACGACTCGCCGTCGTTCGTCGTGGCTGAACTTCAGATGTGGCGGGGGACGGCAACGACGTCCGCCTGTTCCGGTCTGGGTCCGGCCAGTGGGAGTCCTTCCAGAACTTGCACGTCCATGGCGCCAATGGCGGCCGTGACCTGCGTTGGTGGTCGACGGACGCGGTGGTGCCGTACGGACGCCGGTACATGATCTGGGCAGATTACTACCGTGGTATGGTGATCATGGACCTCTCCTCGGAGACGACGAACCCGCCGGCGCCGCCGAGGCTCCGGTACGTGCCCCTTCCGGTGGACATGGTTGGAGACCCCGAGGAACCCGAATGGGGCAGCCGAGGATGCCCTAAAGCTTCGCGCAGCGTGTGCGTCACGCGCCACGGCGTCAAGTTCGTCAGCGTCGACACCCAGCACTGGAGCAACTTTGGAGTTGGGAATCAGCACGTGCTGACGTGGAGCCACAGGTTCCGAATCACCACCTGGTCGCTGCGCGAACACGACTACAAGTGGAGGAAAGACGCGACGATGCACGAGCAAGAGTTCTGGGACGCCTTCGATGGCGGAGACCGAATCCGTTTCCCGCACGTCCAGCCAAGGTTCCCCGTCGTCGACGTGGACAATCCTGACGTCGTCGTCTTCCGACTAGAGGAGCAATGTGCATATCCTGACGAGCCGAAATGGATGATCGAGGTCGACATGAGGAAGAAGGTTCTGCTGGCAGCCACTGCTTACTCCAAGTCCAAGAAGGAAAGTGATGGCCTATCTCATGACGCGGAAACCATCAACTCTGCTAGAATGAAATCTGGTTTTGATCCCATCCCCAGTGAGTTGTCACGGTACCTGGATGGTGGGCGAGCCTGCAAGAAGAGGAGGCAATGACGTCTCATACATTACCCATGCATTTTTTTGTCTCCTTTTCGAGCAAATGCTCGATTTATGAGGCGGCTTTATACCTTGTAATCACACATCAATGTGATATATATATTACTTGTATTCTAGTACTAACATGAGTTTATTCATACAAGTTGCCCTTTCTATTACCAGCAAACACTTACAAGTTATTAGGCCCGGATTGATACAGCTCTAGCTTGAAGAATCTCATGGAGTTGGGATGTTTGTTCATGCAATTGCTTGACAAGATTTGACATATTATCTTTTAGTAATTTTGGGTGTTTAAATAGCATTTGAATATAACAAACAATTATTTTCGTCTATTGCTACCACAATGTCGAGTGTGCAGTGTAAGTACGAAGTGTCATCTATCATGTACTATAAATTGAGTGTAGCTCAGCTAGTTAGGACCACTTTGGTAGAGCTTCACTTCTTGATTCTTGAGCTTCACTTCTCGATTCTCCGAAGGAGTGATTCTGCTGGGGACCAAGGTGGGCGAAGCAGTGGAGATGGAGAAGTGATTCTCGTCAGCTACCCACTAGAATCCAGTTGCATTTTAAGTGTTTGGCGGGGCTGCGCGGATGCTGAGAGTGAACCTGTGACTGGGAGCTATGCCAAAGGGGCTCTTAGTTCCTTATGGTGGAACATGCCCACTTGAGTTCAAATCTTTGACTTCACGTTGCTGCTTGTATTTTTCTGGATTTATTATAGGATTTTAACGGTCCCGATTCTTACAATCCACAATAATATATTTATAATAACTTCAAACAATCAAAGGTGATTAGACTAAACCAGATTTTAAAATATCACACCGATACAAAACCGATATTTCAGTATTATCGGTATAGGTTGATTTTGAATTTGAATTTTACCCACCAGAATTTGGTCCTACGATCCAAACGAACGTGTGCCAGCCTAAAACAAGTGGGTAAAACTTCCATGGTATCCTAACCCTAAAAAATCTGTCATGTTTTCACCCATCCTCTTTCTTTCCAAGCCGCCGCCGCTCTCTTCCGTCCTGGCGGTGCTCTCAGTTCTAAAGGTTATATTGACACATTTCTATACCATTTTGTATCATTTTTTTATATCAGATGGTTTAGATTTATTTTACGTGATTTTCTCTATCAATTACGGGTTTTAATATATATAAATTTTGGACGAAAATTTTCTTGTATCACTAGATTTTCAATATTTCTGTTTAACACTGGTCACCGATGTTTAGGACCTTAGCAACTTATTTTACCCGTGACCGAATGAGAGTACATTGCAAATATGCTATTATATGAAATGCTGGTCAAATTCTAAACTCTTTTACGTACATTGACACTGACTGGCGCCGGCTCCCACGTCTTGGTAACATTTTTTCTACCGATGAATAATTCTGATTTCCATATGGATATATAGGCATTATTCAATGGTTAATATGATAACTGCACAAATTATCAGCCTGTTCGTTTGGCTGAACTTGTTCGTTGCTGGTTTGTGAAGAAGTATTGCACTGGCTGGTTTTGTGTGAGAGAAAAATATTGTTCCGGCTGGAAATTTACGATCGTTTACGACGAGTACAAGCCAACCGAACAGGCTGTATATATCTATGTATGTACTCGATTTGAAGTACCAGGTACAAGCATGACCTCCAAAAAATAGCCATCGAAACCCTGTCAAAAACAATATAACACACAATACCTACAAAATGTTTCTCTTCATCTACATATCACTCAGGTTTTCCTTTCTCTTTTTTGTGATATAAGGACCCTAGCTCACTCAGTTATTGCAATGCTGCAGCACCAAGTGTTTGTGTAGATCAACCTTTTTCTGTACGTACGTGGTCCGAAACAACTACACGCACGGCTAGGTCATCTGGTCTCGATTTCCGTGGGCCGCCACGTCGTCTTCCTCGCGCACAGCATCGCCTCCTTGTTCTTGGAGACGGTCATCCTGACCTCCCACTGCAACGACCTCACCACGCCCTGGATCTCGTCCACCGTCTCCTTGTCGTCCCGCACGATGAGCTTGCCGTTCGGCCTCAGGATCCTGTCCACCTCCACGATCACCGGAAACACCTTGCACCTGCCAACAATCCAAACAACAGAGGACGGATTCGTCGTGTTCATGTCGATCGTCGTCGGCGCGCTTGAACGATCGATGTGCCGCATGTAAATCAGATGGGAGGTAGCTAGCCATGGCCTCCGTTCTCTTCCCACACCTACCTGGGTTTGAGCTTGGAGAAGAGGTGGTCGGCATGGAGGAGGTCGTAGGACCTCAGGTAGGTGCTGAAGGACTCGCACCAGTCATGGTAGATCCCGAACAGCCCGCGCTCGTAGATCACCGGCAGCGTGTCCGGCGAGTCGATGGTGACCACGTTCATGACCCACACCTTCATCTCCCGCAGCGCCGCCGCGAACCCTCCATAGACGGCCCTCATGTCCATGACGTTCCGGATGGTCTTCCAGTCGATGCCCATGCCGGCGAGGTACGAGCTCCGGACCACCTTCCTCCAGTGCTGCAGGTCCGCCGCGAAGTCGTCGGGAGCCGGCTTGCCGTACACGCCCACCTGGCTGCGGTCCAGCCAGTAGGGCGCCTTCCGTAGCCTCTCCGGCCACAGCGCCGGCCACCGGGCGCCACGCACTGACTGGTCCTCAGGAACACGGTGCATACACGCCCGGAACTTTATGTTCCTGCATGCATGCATCGTTGTCGTCAGTTTCCGGTGTGACGTGGCAACTAGTAGTTCAGACAGTGGCCTTGTCTTGTTACCATGCAGCGTTGGGGTCGTCGGAGGGCTCGCACAACGCCGGCTCCTTCTCCGGCCTCTTGTCATAGCAGACGTTGTTCACCGGCTTCTGGAAGATGACGAGGCCGACCAGGTCGACGGTGTCTCTGGTCTTCGCCACCATATCCCAGCACATCGCCTTGGTCAGCTTCACCATTTCTGCAAGACCCACGAGACCAACAACGTTGTGACCAACTCATGATCGATCGATCTTGTTTGTCTCGGCAATGGCGGCGGCGTCCATGCATGAATATATAATGCCTTTGCGGCCTTGCAAGGGGAAAACGAGCTAGAGCTGACCGTCCCAGATCTCCACGTCCTCCGGGAGCTTCTGGTACACCGGCGTGGCGGACCAGACGAAGAAGCCACCGGGGCGGAGCAGGCGGTTGAGCTCGAGGAGGAGCATGCCGCCGTCGATGTGCCACGGCACGCGGCACCGCGCGCAGTGCACGACGTCGAAGACGTTGGCGGGGAACAGGAGGCGCTGGGTGCCCATCACGGCGGAGATGGCCGGGATGCCGCGCTCCAGCGCGAATTGCACCTGCGCCTCGTGCTCGTCGTCCTGGGCGCCAGCGACATGGTCAGCGTGTCGCGGTCGAACAGGTACCCGCCGAAGCTGGCCACGCCACAGCCGACGTCGAGCACCACGCGGCTGCGCCTGCCCCACGCCACATCGGGAAAGGAGTTCTGGATCAGCTCGATGTAGTGCAGCGCGCCGTGCTTGAACTGCGTGCCGCCGCCCGGGAACGTCAGGTACTCGCCGGAGACCTTCACCCAGTTCTGGTGCCCCTTGTACTCTGCCAGCTTGGTGTGCGGCACGTTGTAGTACCAGATCTTGTCGCGGCTGTGCGGCCACCGGATCGGCTCCCGGTACTCCGGCGGCGCCGGGACCAGGCACGTCGGCGCCTCCTCGGGGCAGTGCCGCTCCCGGTGCTCGTAGTGCTTGTCCGTCTTGAGCTTCTTGATGGCTGCCACGTTGTCCAGGCACGGGATGTAGTCCGCGCCGGCGCTCGAGTTGCACAGTTTCCACGCCACCGTGGCGACGGCGCCGGCCGCCTTCTTCTTTTCTTTCTTCCCCTTCTTCTCGGCGCGCTTCTTCTTCTCCTCGGTGGACTCCGCCGCCTGCGTCGTGAACGATCCGTTCTGCGCCGCGCGCTCCGTCAGTAGCTCCGCCTGGACGTTCGGCTGCGCCTCCGCTGCTGCAGGCAGCTGCTGCTCGACACCGTCCTGTTTCTTCTCGTCTTCGGAAGTCATAGTGGATGCGGTGGTGGTGTCGTCAGTGGCCGCGACCGCCGACGCCTCATCCTGCTTGTCAGTGTCGGTGGCCGTCGCCGTCGCCGTCGCTGCTTTGGCCGACGGCTTCACCGTCAGCGCGGCGCCTTCGACCTTGGCACTCTCCTCCGAGATGCGAGTCTTATTGCCGTCGTCCTTCACAAGGTCGACGCCGTCCATCTTGCCGTTCTCGTCATCGAACGTGAGTTTCTTGGCCGAGCCGCTGCCTGCCTCGGCGGTGCTCTCCTTGACGACGCCAGTCGCCGCCGCCTGCTCTGCTGCGCTCGCCTTCGCGTCCGTGGCCGTCTGCTCGGCGGCGCTCTGATCCAGACCGCCAGCATCCTTGGTGTCGATCGCCGTCTGCTCCTTGCCGGCGGTATCTACCTTCGCGTCGTTGTCCAGCGCCGCCTCCTCACTGGCGCCCTTGTCCTGCCCCGCGGCGGCGTCCGTCTCGCCGCCGCCCGGCTTGACGAGCTCCCCGCCCTCGGTCCTGCCGTTCTCGTCGTCGAACGACTGGTCCTTGGACAACGACGCCGCCTTCCCGCCGTCGCCTTCTGCTGATCCGCTGTCACCGGGCTTGCCGGGGATGTCGACATCCTCGGCGCCCTCGGCGGCGGCGGCGGCGGCACCGGCCGTGGCCGCCTCCGCGACGACGTTGGCGCTGTCCTGCTTGACGGTGTTGGTGGCGTCGATGGAGCTGTCCTCCTCCTTGACGTCGGCCTTGACGGCCGCCTTCTCCGAGGACAGGGAAATGGCCGCCGGGACGGTCTCGGGCGAGGACATCATCCACAGGCCGAGGAGGCAGAGCGCGACGAACACGACGAAGGTCGCCGTGGAGTAGAACGACGACCTCTGCCTCTGGTTCCGATCGAACAGGGCCATCCTCTCCTCTGTTTTGGATCAGCTCATGCAAATCCGCTCTGAATCGGAGTAAGAGGAGACTAGTAATGAAATTTGGGTGAGAAGTAAACCAAATCAAGAAATCCAGGCATCATCCATTGTTACCTAATTCGGATGAATCCCCCAACAAGTCCCAACGAGAAGCAAATCCATTCACACCTGCAGCAGTGGTCTGTGTTGTTTCATGATTCCGGATTCTCCCGAAGGAGAGTGTGCATGCGCGTTCTTAAGGGCGCCGCGGGTGGCAAGTTTGGACGAAGGGAAGAGAGCGTAAAGCGGGGGAGTGAGCGAGAGACAGGGGGGTCAACACACAGGCCACTCCCCGGCTTTGGTGCGCCATGCCCATGCATGCAGAAATTGCAGATACAGTACGAGGAAGACGACGATCTACAACTAGGCCAGCCCAAGGTCCGTGCCAAACGTACACAGCTGGGTGGTAATTCATTTCTATAAGAAACTAGCAACCCAGTAAAAGTACACCTTGTTCATGTTATCTATTCTAATATGTATTTAAATTACACTTTATATTATCGCTGGACGCACAAATACGCAGGATTCTGAGCTTCTAACTCAACCAATGTTCATCATGAGGTAGCTTCCAAAGGAGTTAATGAGATACATATAGGCATTGTGGGACACAAAAAGACGAATGGAAGAATCCTAGCCGGATGAGAGAGAGAGAGAGAGAGAGAGAGAGAGAGAGAGAGAGAGTAGAGATGGAAACGGACCGGGTTGACCCAATGGATAATTAATCTGACCTATAAAAGTAAAGCCAATGGATCATACGGATCGGTCTTAAAGTCTAAAATTGGTCGATCTAATAGTCATATAATAACCTTTTAAAATTTCAGTTTTTTCTTCATCTTTTATAAGCATGGTTCATCATAACTTCATCTTTTATAAGCATGGTTCATCATAACTTCATCTTTTATAAGCATGGTTCATCATAACTTATAAGTACATCTATTGTTCGAAGTAGTTTGAGGAATATCATATTTCAGAACTAAAAGCAGATAAAATTAAGTACATTAGATCGATCTAATAGTCATATTCCAAAGGAGTTAGCGAGCATTGAATTCAAGTCTTGCATCGCTCCCTCTTCTCTCAGCTTTGGCATGGGCAGCTGCAGTGGTAAGACCGACGCTTGGATTGCAGTTTTTTTTTCAAATTACTCGACACTTACGATGCACGCACACTCAGCATGCAGGGGCCAAATCGTCATTTCATGGCTGTTCTTTCACCTGCGTTCGGTGTTCATCAGCAAATTTTGCACAAAGTAGAATATCCATCAGCAAACTGATTTATTTTCAGTATTCGTTGGCAAAGCAACCTCACTTTTAGTGTCCACTAGCAATTTTTTTTTTTGCAATAGAGTTCCAGCAAGAGCTAGGTGTCTTTTTTAAAAAAACAATAATTAAATTAACAAAATTGCTATACAACACACGTGTATTTTAGAAAAAAAACACATGCATTTTTAGTCACCAGATCATTGCCTCTGCGTCCGTTAGATCTGCAAGCCAGTAAACGCGAACGCCAGAGAGAGACATTGCGCGTGGTCGTGTCACGTGGCTGGTCGCGTCCGTGAGAGAGAGAGGACGTGAACGCGAACGCGAATCGCTCTGTAATATGTCAGGTGTCAGGTGGCCTCATGACGCGACCCATGACGAATGGGTAGGAATGAATCAATCGCTCTATAATTTGTCATTTCATAAAAAAAAAATATTTTTTATGATATATAATTTATGATCTATAGATTTATGATTTTGTGATTGTCTGAAGGTAGAAAAAGACTAGAGGCAAAAGAAAAATAGAGGCTGTTGAATCTTAATCTTACGATATAAAAAAATTCATATATTAAAATTATATAAAACGCATGGTTATACCTAGACTCTTAAATTAAATCTAAAGTAAAATAAGACAAAGACGTTACAGTCGGAATCTGAAGTTCAGACCCCCACGGGCCAGTCGCTGTTCATCTCCTTCCCCAATCCGCCGCCAGAACCAAACCCTCAGCGGCATGGCGCCACCACGCTCGCTGCCGGAGCTCATCGAAGACACCATCGCGGAGGTCCTCCTCCGAATCCCCCCGGACGAGCCCGCGCACCTCGTGCGCGCCTCCCTAGTCTGCAAGCTCTGGCGCCGCATCCTCCTCGACCCCGCCTTCCTCCGCCGCTACCGCGAGTTCCACCGGATACCACCGCTGCTCGGCGTCCTCCGCAACTCAATCACCGCCAGCCTCTTCCAATCATTCCGCTACGTCCCCACAACATCAGCATCCACCATCCCCCAGCCGGCGTTTGATTGCGTCAGATGGCGAGCGCTCAGTTGCCGCCATGGGCGAGTCCTCCATGACATGGGCTTCTACGGCGTCGACCTCGTTGTCTGGGATCCTATCACAGGCGATCTGCAGAAGCTGCCTAAGTCCAGCATCACCATCTCCTTTTACAGCTCCGCCGCGGTTCTCTGCGCCGCGGGTAGCTGCAACCACCTCGGTTGCCATGGTGGCCCCTTCCTCGTGGTCTTCGTGAGCTCCCATGATGGCCGTCCCGGTGAGTTGTTCGCTCGGGTGGGTGTGTATTCGTCAGAAACTGGCGCGTGGGACACTCCCGCTCCTCTTTACTTAGCCGGCGTCCGTTGCGAGGTCGACCGCAACAGGAATGGTGCTCTTATCGGAGATAACATCTATTTCTCCCTTGAGCTTGGTGAAAAATTTCTGAAATTTGATTTGGGCAATAATTCCTTGTCTATGATGGATCCGCCGGACTTGTACAATTGTGGTGTTCTCCTCATGCAAACAGAGGAGGGTTCACTTGGGCTTGCTGGCATTAGGGGTTCAAGGCTTTGCCTATGGTCAAGAGAGGTGGATCCAAAGGGAGATGCCGGCTGGGTACCACGAAGGTTCATCAAGATTCAGAAACTGTTCCCCAATAACACCCCCCGTTACAGACGTAGTGTGATTGGTTTTGCTGATGGTGTTGGTGTCATATTTGTGTAGACAGATGTTGGTATCTTCATGATGGAGCTCAAGTCAGGTCGGAAGAGGAAGGTGAGGAAGGTAAGCGAGCCTGAGGCTTGCTGCGGTGTCATCCCATTTATGAGCTTCTACACTCCACGTACAGTGCTAGCCCATTGCCTAGATGTAATCCTGCACAATGGCTTTCATGTACGGTTGCAATTAATGTTTATCTATTAAACTGAATATTGATGATGATGTTAGTCAGTTCAAAACTGAATACATGGCACTATCTGAAGATCTCGCTTGATTTTGGTTAGGTCTGAATTTTAAGTGCTATTACTGAAAACGGCACCACGTGCCCTAAAATGTTTTTTTTCTTCTTTTTTTCACAAACTAACCAGAATGTTTTGATTGTTGTGTTGATATCTCCTATGGCTGTTCTGAAGTTCACATGCCAATACCCAAACCTTTTATACCTTTGGGATTGCACCAATAAATCATAAACTACTGTTTTATCACATTTTGGATTGTTCGTTATTTTACCCTACTTTGTAAATACTACACAATTGGCAGTTTGCACTATTCATCTTTAAGCACTGTTTGTGTGGGCATAATAATTTCAACTTATATGCTACTGCATGTTGCTTTTCAGATTGTGCTAGCAGAAAACTACAATCATCATCAGAGACAAATTAATCACCGTTGAACCAAGGTATGGTAGTGCCTGGACTGTGTACAAATTCACCAAGTTGAATCTGCTGCAGTTAGCGTCTTTGCAGGTTGGTGCTTTGGTATGTCCACTGTTATTCTCTTGGGTAGTTTAATTTATGGTGGTGTGAACCATCATTGGACCTATGATGTTATGATCATGGCTGTGGCAACTATATTTCAATTTTAGTTAGTCTTGTGTACGATGGTGTTTCATTAATGTTTAACCCTAATATTTTCGTTTTAATCAGAAGCTATATTGTGGCTGTTTTGACTGGAAAATGAACCTGTGTACTTCAGTTTAATAACTTTAATTTTCATTTCTGTGACAAGGGTAGCAGTTACTGGCTTTGCATGTACTCAGGAATCCACTCAGAACTGGAAATAAGTTAGGATTTTGAGTTCAGCATCTGTCTGAAATATTGGTCGTCTCTCTGGTTGCATACAGTTTTAAACTTCGTTTATTGGACTTCATGAGCCAGAGCGTGCTCCAGCTTTTTTTATTAGAACACTAGAACGCATATGTTGATTGGAGCTTGTTTGTTCTGTTGCAAGAGTGCGAGAAAGTAGTGGAAAAGGATGGTAAACAACTTTTTCTGGCAGTGACATGGGAGCGGACGACCCTGTGTTGTAGTTCGGTCAATGGCTGTTTCCTTTGTCTGGAGATATCCACTTTTTTGCTTCAAAGGCCGACCTGAATCTTTCATAGCCAGATACCAAATCCAGTGTAACCTTGTGTAAATTTTATGAGTTAGTCACATGTTTTACACATGCTTGTTTTCAGGCAGTGGTGATTTGTCATCACTAGCAGGGACTAATTTTAAGTTCCAAACCTGAAGTTGTACAGTTTTAGTGTCTATGCAGGGCAGGCAGACTGCTATCTGTATCTAGTATTTGAGTGTTGGTTTGGTTTCGGTACAGTCAGGTGGTTCACACAGTGAATGAAGTCAACACTGTCCTAAAGACCTAATTAAGCAAGCATGGAAAACATGGAAGATGGAACTGAAGACTATGCTTCAGGTCTTAGTTAAACACTTTATTTAAGTTTATGTTGTGTTCATGATTGAAAACACCACTTGGAACCGAAGATGTATTCGGTCATCCTTTTGTACTGAAACCTGAGTTTGCTTTACTTATTCATTTATCAGAATCCGTTAGGAGTTTCCGCTCTCTAAGGAATATACCAGGAAGTGAAATTACACATTTTTTTTTGTTTAGTTTCTGTTTTTATGTACATAAAGTTGCTTGTTTGTAGGATTGCTTGCAGTTTGAAGCTTTATTTGTTCAACTGTGTCTTTGTTTGATGGACTGCTTCAAC